CCCACCATTAACTAATGCAACGAAAGAAAATAATTGACCTTGTCATCTCCGATATTTTTAGTGATTCATTTTTAATTGAATTCTTTAGGCTTCAAAGTTTGGAACGGAATTTTTGTGTGACAAAAAAAATATGTTGGTAAAGTTGCATCCGTCAATTCATGTATTCAGATTTAAGAATCTTTCAAATTTTGTCAGTTACTTAATTTGAGACATCGTTACAGGGGAAACATTCTTTCTAAACTCTTCCATTTCTTAGATATTGATCATCTTTTTAATGCTGGATAAATCAAAGATCTGAGAGAATGTGGGAAGAGTTTAACTGCATCTCAATGCTTTCTTTCCAAAAATTCAAATTTCAAATTATCATGAATAACAGAAGAAAAGCCATGTTAAAATCGCGAAACAAAAGGAAGAAACGATTCTAAAAAAAAATTGGAAATGAAGAAATATTGCAAAAAAAAATAAATAAATCGAACTTCTCAATAAAAAAGAATGTCAGATATTTGACAAAATAAATGTTAACAAGTTGAATGCATTCTAATTTTCAATACATATATTTTTCAGATACAATGCGAATTAGACCCTATTATGTGCATCATATGTTAACACTATGCCGCGAACTTGAAAGTTGGCTTCGACGTTTTTATCGTACTGATTGTCATCTTTCATTGTTCGGTTCAGCTGGGAATGGATTCGGTCTTTTAGGTTCAGATGCAGATATTTGTCTTCGGTTTGGACCAGAAGTGAGATCTGAAGTAAATTTTAAAATGATTCTTTATTAGTCTGTTAAAAATCAGTTTTTCAGCTTGTGGATCAAAGTTCTTCTTTTCAATTTTACAGTCAAGTCCGGCCAAAGTCTTTCCAGATTTCGATGAAAATTGATAACGACAATAAATTTTCAAATTTCGAATGATAAATTTCACATATTTGGTTATTATGTACTAAATAGGAAGCATTATTACAGGACATTGATTCGGCAGAAGTCATATGTAAAGTTGCTGAAGTGATTCGTAAAATGCCTAACATTACGTTCGTTTACGAAATTCCACATGCTAAAGTACCAATCGTGAAGTTTCGATGCCGTAATCACTATCATCTTGAGGCAGAGTAAGTATTTTGCGTAAACCAGAAAGGTTTTTTTCCACTTGATCGTTGAGATTACTGATTAAAATGTATTTCCAGTAGATCTGTTGACATGAAGTAGTTGTTATTATAATAAAACACATGATTTTTGATTATTAAGGATTCTCCAATATCTTAACTGCAAAATTATGTCAATTTTCTTTGCATTTCAATTAATTTTTAGTGTGTCACTGTATAATGTGCTAGCATTAGAGAATACACGTTTGCTGCGGACATACAGTAAACTTGATCGCCGAATACATCAGTTAGGAATAATGACTAAAATGTGGGCTAAAAATTGCGAAATTGGAAATGCATCGAAAGGAAGTCTTTCATCCTATTCTTATATCATCATGCTTATTCACTATCTTCAACGAACAAATCCACCAGTTGCTCCATTCCTTCAGGAAGTTTGTTTTTCTTTGCATAATTTCCGAATTTTTATTTTACATTTCCTTTCCTATTTTTATTTCTTTTGTTTGGTGATGCTGATAATACTTATTTTTTCTTTGTTTAATAAGATTATATTCTATAGACTGTGTGATTATTCATTATTTAATGCGTATGCGATGACTTTCAGTTAGTACCGCCTGGAAGATATAGAGAACCAGTAATAATTGATGACTGCGATGTGTACTTTTGTAGCTTTGAAGATTTGGTTAGTTCTCGAATTCGCATTTTGTTCTCTTTCCCCACTATATACGCATTTTTACATCTCCTATTTCTTTTTATTTCATTTCGTGTTCGTTTTCTTCCATATACTTTTTTTTCTTATCAACTTTAATGCTCATTTTTCTCAAAATATGTAGTCCTCTTACTGTTTGTTTTTGTAAATTGTATATTTGCGTTAGAAGTGGACAATTCACAATCGATCAACGGTTGGGGAATTGTGGATAGGCTTTTTGGATTATTTCGGGACGAAATTCGATTTTACAAGAGAAGTTATACAAATTCGACAAACTCTACCACTTTTGAAGCTGGACAAAGGCTGGCAGTCTAGACCGATTGCAATTGAAGATCCATTTGATCTCACTCATAATCTCTCCTCGGGCGTTCATTCCAAAAGTAAGCAAAATTTAAGTGGATTATTGAGTTTTAAAATGATCTGGCATAAGCAGAATGAAAAGTGGATGAAGTATCAGAAATTAAAATTAATAAAGTATCAGAAATTTGTGCACTGCAATGTGATAGGCTTGTCCTAGTGAGGTTAATTGACACAAGCTATTTCATAAGGAGGTTATCTCTTAATCCTTTAATCTAAACATTAAATTGAAATCATTTGGTCTATTTGGTTTGATTTTTCAAAATTTCTCATTTTCTGGTTATTTTCTGATGGTAGATTTACTACTTTATAACATTCTTATCAGTTTTAAATTAACCGTACCCTTAATGAGTAAATAATCGAAACGTATGCAAGCCAATCATGTTTGGACTCTTTTCAGCAATGGCATATATACAGAAATCATTTATACTGAGTTGGGAGAAATTCAATACTTTATCCGTCCCAAATTCAAAGCTAAATCATAATTCACTTATGCTTTATGCGGTAAGCCTTGCTGTTTGTGTCAACTGTTTAATACGGTGTCTTACTGATTCCCTTTATTTTTGTCATCTGATATGCGAAGAAATAAAATTGGCACAGCGATTTTGTTTGTTTTACTTTCAAGCTTTTATTTCTTCATCCTTTCAGTCTGTCTTACTCTCAGATTGCCGTGTGGGCAGTGGTCCTCCATTGGATTGCAATTGTTGCCATCGGTGTCGACAAGTTGGACATTTTGTAATGGATTGTCCTCTGGGCTTGAAAGATAAGAAACTAAACAAGTAATTCTTTAGTTTCAAATTATTTCTTGCTTTTTAGTTATATATTTCATCCGTCTCAATGAGCAGGATGTTTGTATGTAAATCTGACAGCATTGGACTATAAAGAATTCATCAAAAAATAAGTTATTTCACCAAGCAGAAATTTCTGGTTCTACTGGGGCGAGTAAATTTTTCTTGCATAACTATTCGGTGTGCAATATTATATATATATATATATATATATATGTTTTGGAGTGTAAATAATCTATAGATTGTTTAATTATTATTCAAGCAATTGTTTTCCTGTATGTAGCAAACTAATGTGTGGAATCTAAATGTTTTGATCTTTTGCGGTGAATTAACTTCATCTTATCCGTCTAATCTCCACCTCCTTTTCTTATCTAATGGATTAATCGGCCTTAATTCTCAACGAATTGTCTGCAGCTACCATCGATTTTGTTAGCTGTACATTCAGTTTAGTAATTTATTGGTTAATTGAGGCTGAAAAATAAACTTATGACAGATCGTCTTAGAGTAGAAATATTGGTTGAGAGAGAAATTGGTGACTTTTGTTGTCACTAACATCAGTTCTCTCTCTCCATTCATTTGATACTTCGTTCTTTATCGTATTACTTCATGTTGTATTAATAAATTAGAATGAATTGTTAGAACTTCTGGATATATCCATTAGCATATTGAGAAAAATTCTTTGTCTTTTATCATATTCTTTATATCATTCTTTTGTAGGTAGAGCTAATCCAGAGAATCCCTGTATTAACGAACTTTCTGGCACCAGTGATCACTGCCGAAAAAATTTAAGAAAATCACAGCGGTAAGCGACCAAATTAGACGTAGTGTCATTTCATGGAAAGCGAGTGCCATTATTGTCGTTTTATTGTAATCATTCATTGTTTTGCTTCCTCTTGAATTTATCAGCATACTGATTCGTATATATCGATTACCATATCGTTTCTGATCTTTTTTCTGAAGTTAATCCCTAATGAAAGCCTTTTAGAAATTTGATAAAATGTTGTATCCAATGATAAGCGAATACAAAGTGTTCGGTCACCTCTGGAAACCATTTGTTTTTTCCACTTGTAGTTTTCATATAATTTCGTAATATAAGGAATGTAATGTAACGCGGCACTAAAATGATTCATTTTACTTTCGTGAAATTTACTCTTAATTCATCCCTTGTTTACTTTTTCTCGATTATGATTGGGTTTTGCTGGTGCTTCGAACTTTGTGTCAACTGGAATGAGTTTTTACATCTATTGTATCACTATCTTCAACTTCTCTTCAACTAGTTAAATTCCCCGAGAAACTTAAATTAGATCTTTTGACTAGTTGAATAGTAAAATAAGCTGGGACATCATTCCCACTTCACGTTGGGAATGCACAAAGAACGCGAGGTTCTCTTTGATTCTCCCTTTTCTTTCTCTGACAACGAAACATACCACAGGTTTGAAGCATGCGCGGTGATCAAGATGTTTGTGTGGGTTTTCCTTTTTTTGATTCCTGTCTAAATTTAACGATACTCTCTGTGAAAAGAAAGTTATGGGTTTACGGTATCTTAACTTTGTCAATTGGTTGCCATAAATTTATCATATGTTTCAGCTAAACTAATCGTATTGTGGTATTTATAACTTATGTTCATTCTCGCTCATACTGTTTAGCTTTTTCATGAACACTTATCAGTACTGCTGTTTGATTGCCTTTTTTTTTTAACAAAAGGGACATAATTCATAGAATGTCATATCGAAGTTTGCTTGGAATGTTTTTGTGACCTACAGCGAGATCAATCACCCAAGATATTTTTAGTTCTTCTTATTCAGATGTTGAATAGCGTGATTTCTGATAATCATTTTAGCTCCGCTGTGTCAATTTTGCATTATGTCAATATGGAAATGTCATTGTTGTCTCATTATTGATCCATTAAAGTTTTTGATCAACTAGAAGGAGAATAATCTCGAAGTAGCTGTTTACAATTAATCCAACATAACACGTAGCAGCGAAAATGTTGCATACGTTGCATACTAATATTTGTAGAGGCGAGTTTTTTATTTGCTTGGGATTTTCAATCAGGTTTAATGTTCGTGAACTGGGATTGCAATAAGGTGGATGGGAAGAAAGTTGGTGAAATTGGCTCAAATGCAAACATCACTTTTTGTTGATGCCATTTCTTTTAAATCATAATTCCAGAATATCCTATTTTCTTAGTCATGACTTGTAAATGGAGGACTGCGTCTGACGAGCGAAATTGACCCATGAAATTTAAATTTAAATTTAAAAGGAAAAATATGCCTTGCAGAAATTTATCTATCGAATCTTAAACCTATAAAAACCATAGAAGGAAGATTTTGGTTGTATAATTGGAAAAGACATACCGGGTAGGTGTTGCTTTGCGAAAAATTCTCAGCAGGTATATAATTGATGCAGTTAACGAATCCAGTATGGATCCATCACTCAGGTAAGATTTCATATGAGCTAAAGATTTTATTCCTACTGCTTCGGTTATTGATATTCTTATGTATTCACCAAATGTTCTTGTTCTCGGCAAATATTTGGCTAGTTTATGTCTTCGTTTTCTTCTTTTTTTTTCTGTAATTTTCGAATTTAGGTGGTGCAATCTATTCAGTAGATATTCATCCAGATGGCACGAAGATAGCAACGTGCGGACAAGGTGGTGAAGGTGGTTCAGGCCTTGTGATCATCTGGAATGTGAAACCAGTGATTAACGAGAAAGCCAGTCAGGAGGCATCGTGCAGTCGACTACTCTCGCGAATTCTGCATCAAAGTAATTTAAGCAATTCTCATGTTACGTTCTCTACATTTAATTTAAGTAGGATTGTTTAATTGCTGTCACGTAGAAACAAACATTTATTGTATTATCCTATTTTTTTACATCTATAGCTCCATCACGATATATGGAAATTGGTATCGGTGAAATGAGCCTAAGGCGGATAGCCTTAAATATCTTTTTCTCGCATGTCATTACATCGCCGTGCTAGCATTCTCTGCTTTGATATTTGTGAATGCAGCTATTGAAATTTTCTACACAATGTTTTATTTAATTTTCTTTTATTGTTTAAATGTTTAATTTTCTATATAATATTTTAGATTGTGTTAATTGTGTTCGTTGGTCTCCGGATGGAGCATATCTTGGATGTGCTGGTGATCAACAATCACTGACGCTCTGGGAGTTTGGTGGTCGAGTTTTCAGTGCTGGAACGATTGGTTCTAAAGTAGTGTTTTTGCGAATGAAATTAGTCATCATTCTTTGCGTTCGTGAACAGTATTTACTCATAACAAAATTATTGTGGAGACCTTTGTGATCCATTTTTAAAACCTTTATCATTATTACCTTTACATTCTTTTTTTGAAGTGAAGACAATTATTTCAGATGTCAAAATGTTTGTAAATAAAACATATTTCAGGATTCCATTAATGTCGAGAAATATCGGGAGAAGTACCGGTTGTATGGGCATTTGTTAGATGTGTTACATCTTGAATGGTCCAAAGATGGCCGCTATCTTGCATCTTGTGGGATGGATCATGCTGTGATCATTTGGGACGCCCATAATTTACCGAGTATGTATTTTCTTTACAACATCACTTTTCCACTTTTTTTTAGATCCCTTTGCTTAAAGACTTCCGAAATTTTCTTTTGTCTTGTGTGCCTGCCGATTTTTTTCAAGTGGTGAAGTCTGAAAATTTTTCAGACAAAGTGGTGTCATTAACAGTCGAACGAGGCGGGCATCAGGGTATTGTGAAAGGAGTAAGCTGGGACCCAATTGGAAAATTTCTCGCTACGCAATCAGCTGACAAGTCTGTGAGAATCTGGACAACTGACAATTGGCAGTGCATCAAAGTAGTCATGGATCCATTTATTGAGGTTTATTTTAAAAAAGTTACTAGCACCTTACAACAGCAAACTGTCATGCACTAAAAAATCAGAATTTCTCAAATCGTTCACAATGAAATGTCAGTTGAATCGATTGATGGTTCAATTTTTTGCTTCCGAAATCTTTCCAAGCTTTTAGATTTAAAGAGACTTTGCTTAAATTTAAAAAACAGGATTAGGAACTCGAAAAGTGATTATATGTTATGCTTTTGCAGAGTAGCCAGTCTACTATGTTTTGTCGATTAGACTGGTCACCAGATGGTACTTACCTGATAGCGCCATGTGCAAGTAATAACTCCGGGCCAACTGCTCACTTGATACGAAGAAAGGCGAAAAATTTTTGTGCAAAATATTCACCTAGCTAGTTCTTTCACTAGTTACTTATTTTTCATTAGGATTTAATTTCCAATAAGTTCACTTAAGAATCACCACTTATTTATTCATTAAAGCTATGACACTTTGAAAATTTTGTCTCATTTGATATCTAGGATTGGGATACTACGCTGGATTTAGTTGGTCATCGAAAAGCTGTAACAGTGGTTCGAGCATGTCCTCGTATGATTGAATATCAGAATTACAAGGTTTTTGAATTAAAACGACTTAATAATTTTGGAATTAATGAGAACTTTTTCTACAGAGTCATTCCAACACTTCTTCGTTGCACTTTAAATCTTCCATTATCTTGTATATATTACTGATTATTCATCTGTCCTATCTCATTTCTATCTATATGTACCTTAGTTTTGCATAAGACGTTGTATTCTATGATTCTCAGTCAAGTTGAAAAAAACTTTGTTGCAGGGCAATCGTCTTCAAGTAAGCTGTATAGCAATGGGCAGTCGTGACAAGTCATTAAGCGTTTGGTTGCTACCAAATGTAGATCGACCTTTAGTTGTCCTGTACAAGCTTTTTAAACATTCCATACTTGATTTTTCCTGGTATTTATTTTTTTGCTTATGAAGTCGAAGAGTTACTTGCATATTAATTGTTAAAAGTTTACTCTGATCTTAAAAATTATTCGTTTCGGCTTTCTAACATTGCCGGTATAGTATTAGTTGAAGTAAGCCCATTTTCTATAGGAATGATTATCATCTAACTATTTGCTCTATGGATGGGACAGTAAAATCAATTGTGTTCGATGCGAAAGAATTAGGACGATTGCTTACTTCTTCCGAAATGGTGTTTTTTTTTTAAAATTGTTTTAAGCTGGCTAATCTTCATTCGTTTTTGTCTTTCTCTTTGCGTGATAAATTCTGTAAGGACAAAAGAGATGGATATATCAATGATAGTTTGCATTTATTACTGTAGTTTATGATGCTTTTAAGGGTGACCTATGTGAACGAATGTATAGTCGTCGACCGTTGCAATATTCTTCTGGTCAACTAAATAATGGACATCAGTTGTTGTCTTCCAAGGATTCAAACCGAATGTTTGTTGATGACCTGAAAAAGCTTCAAAACGAAAAACAAGGTCCGAAACAGTCGAAAGTTCACGACACCGCCTCCTTCATTTCGTCACAAATGAAAGAACTTCGTAACAGTCAAACCGTTGTTCATACACCAGTTTCGTGTAACCCAGGTTTTGATTTGTTTTTGTTTTAAATATATTCAAAAGATATATGCCGTCTGTCACCATGATGATTCTCTCGATTCATCTTTTTTTTTGAAGAAAATAATAAATCGTGTCTTTAATTGATTCATTTTTCTCTGTGAGCAGAATGGCATAAATAACCTACCACTCTGGAAGAAACGAAATATGCTTTCTTCCTTTTTTTCTGTATTGATCCTATTTGCACATTAATTTTTGTTTGCAGTGCAAACTGATTATTCAGAAAAAATGCTTGTTTCATCGGAATTACCGAAGAAACAAATCGAACTTCGAACAAAATCAGGGAAAAGAAGAATACAGCCTGCTTTTATTGCTTCTGTTACAGTTCCTGAAGCTGAAATAACTGTAACGCCTGCTTCTTTGGACGAACCAGCGTCAAGCAGGTCAATTTGTGAAGCAGCACATTTTGTTCCAATTTGGTTTTTTAAATTTTTTAATAGATTTTATATGAAAATAGCTTGTTTCAGTTATGAGCCAGCACAAGCTTCATCTGTGCATCTTTTGGCATCTCCATCCAAAAGTAATGGCCGAGTTTTGGTAAGTAGTATTGAAAAGATACAAACTATGCCAAAGACTGGTGAACCGATGGACACACATCCTTCGACATCCATAACTGAGCAGGTTGCCCAATTTTTCGCGGATTTAAAATGAATACTCTGAAAATTAGTAGCTACCGACAATTTTTCGCGGATTTAAAATGAATACTCTGGAAATTAGTAGCTACCGATACTAAATTGTCAGTTCCTTATAGATTCTGCCTCAATTATCACTGAAACCACTATTGCGCCCTGCTCCTTTTCCGGAGTCACTAACAGTCATGTTGAATGATAATCGTTCCGTTATCTTTCCTATTCCACAACAGCGGCGATCGCTGTCGATATCTGTACCTCCGGTATGTTTCGATAATTTACCATGGTTGCAATACTCCCTTAGTTCGCTGTTTGATTTTGCATTTATTTGATTGAAATATCGACTGGTACATGTTTTGCGTAAAAGTACAGGATAAACTAGGATTATAACAGAAAAGTATGAATTAATATTGATTATAATCATTCAATTTTCAAGGTTATTCGAGTACTTTTTGTAAACTAAGTAATCAGCTGAAATAATTTTCAATAACTTTTTGTTCAAATAATCTTTTGTAGGATATTTGTTTGATATCTTTAAATTTGCAGACTGAAATGTGTTCAATAAATAGGATTGATGTGTTGAATGAGTATGAAATTGCGGCAACTGTTAAATTGACGAAGCTCTGTGGTATGAAAGATACAACAGTACTGTGGACGGCTCATATGGATCCAGTTGTGTGTTCCGCTGCTGCTAATAGGTGTTCCCTTTACTTGAAATTTCTTTTACCTGAAGTTTGAAGTTTCTGTTGACCTGGTAGAATTTTGAAGAAAGACTGGATTGTTGCGATTTCATTTTGAAAAAACAATCGCTTAGTCTTGTACACAGAAATGTCACTGTATAACTTTCACTGGATGTGATTAATCGTTGCTACAGGTATCAGTTTATTTCATTTAACTGATGGAAAAATGTTAGCTCGAATTAAGTGAGGATTTTAAATTTTTTTTTAAATGATTCTCTTACAGTCACTGGTTTGTAACTGGTTGCTATGATGGCAGTATCCACATTTATTCAACACCCTCCGGTCGATTACATACATTCTTTACTATCGATTCATTACCTTTTATAATTCAAGTGCATCGGAATTATCTTTCTGTATGCTCATCTCAAGGATTGGTTTACTCTTGGTTAGACTTTTTTCATCTTTCTGCTAATTTAGAGGTAAACAGTTATAAGGGTCATAGCCATGTGTGAGATTTTTCTTGAAATCTCTCAGTTCTTTTTATAACTGGAAGGTTTACGGTTGATGCATATTTTTAGGAATATAGAAAGTAGGAAATGTATTATGTCAAGAAGGTCAGTTGCTGATTTTTGCGAAAAAGGTAATTTTCAACTTGTTACAGAAGACGAATTATTTACTGTTTCGTTTTCTCAATCGTTATCAAATTTTCTGATAAGCATTGTGATCATCAGAAAAATTTCTATCAGTCATCTGATCACTTCAGAACTAGCAGTCATACCTAACATACGGAAATTCCCTTTACTAATAAGCAGATGATTTGCTGCGTCTTCATTCACTCCATTTAATATATATCGATTTTCTCCCAAAATACCGATATGGATATCCAAAATATCAATGAATACTTTACAGATTGTAAAGTAGTTTCATGTATATTATCAGATATAGGAGAACCTATCATTACACTTTCGAATGGAAGGACTTATTCATTTTTGCTGTCGCTAGATTGCTGGTAAGAAATACTTTTTTGCTGATATTTTGTGCTAAATGTAAATAACATGACCTTTTTATTCTGTTTGTGTAAAATTATCACCGTCAGTACGTAAATTTTATTTGATTTGGAAAGATAACATGTATTTTGAGAAAAGTGTTTCAGTTCTTGATTTTAGGCAGTTACTGTTCGATGAAAAAAGCATTCTGCCTAGATTAAGTATGCCAGCAATGAGTGCTTCAACTAGTGCTTTGCTTAATCCTATAAAAAGGTTGGCTGTTTGTTGAAGCTTTTTCTGTTTCTGCATATTTTTCTGTTCCATTTTGCTATTATTCGTATATTAGAAATCAGGTTTTCAGCAGCCCAATTCATGCAAACAGTGAAGTCCAAATCACTGCCACACATTCATTCCTAGAAGAAAGGCTTTGCAGTGCACTTTCATTAAAACTTCCCAGCGATTTTCGTCACTACCTCAATTTATACGTACGATTTCTACTTCAGCATGGTGAGAGAATTGTAAAATCAGATTTTCTGGAAAAATAATTTATAATCCACTTGTATTGAGGCATGCAGATTTCACGATTTTCAAATATGTTTCATGATTAACTATAATTCCAAGACAAAGAGTGGCTTTAATGGAAAGCCTGTTTCGAAAAGGATTAAAAAAAGGGGATATCCAGCAGTTTCCCTTGATATAGCCATGCTGTGTAACTACCACAAAGCAATCGAGGCTGATCAGCTTACTTTTCTTCTAATCCCAATAATTTTTTAATGCCATTAATGTAGTAGCATAATTAACTTCTGTGAAGTCATTATTTGCGCACTCTATCAAATATTTTGAACTTAAATTCTAGATCTTCACTGTAGGGCTGATAGGGAAACTAAGAGTTAGTGAAGTATTTTCTTAGTAGATAAATGAACGAGAAGCGAGTAATAAAAAAGCATAAAAACTTACGGTCCACTATTCGACCCTCAACTCGAAGTAGAAGTAGAATTTTTAAAGCAACATTGACTTTTTGAGTTAATGAACTTTTCTAATGTTACCAAGCCACTGTTGCTTTCATCGTTACCGTTCTAGGATGTACTACAAAGTTAAACGAAATCCTCTCAACATATTTCACGGCCGTTTCAATCTGTGGGTTAAAATGCGATGTTTTATTGCGTGAAATATTGGAATTGACAAGAACGAGTGAAGGATGCAGTGAGTTTATTCGCGATGTCACGCTACGCCTCGAGTCGCTTATTTCCCATCAGTAATACTAATATTGTTGTTTCCCGTTGCAAATTACTCTAAATGTCTGGCAATTATTATACGTTTTAAAAACTTCTATAGTTCTAGGGCATGTACGGAATTCAGCCTTACCTTTTTTCTGGATCGCATTTTTTTCACTGCTAATTAAATCTTTTTCAAAAAATTCCCGAAATACATGTTGAGCGCTTGTGTTTAACACTGAATCGAACTGGGATTTTATTACGACTTCGGTTTTTCTTGGCATAATGTATGTTCTTTTGAAATTTAATGTTTTGTTACTACGTTTTCATTATTGCGAGTCATTTTTTTAGCATTTAAATTGTTATGTGAATTATTTGAGCAGTAATTATCAGGTTTTTGTAGATCTCCATTTCATGTCTTTTTATATTCTTGGTTTTATTCATCGATTTGTAGAGGAATTGTGACTGTTGAATGGTTTTTTTTCGAATAAACAGAAAAAGTGGTTGTAATTTTAAAATGTGCTTTTAAAGGCGAGCAATGTCTTCATTTGTTTTTTCTTAAATGAATTCAATTCAAGGGGAACGTCGTTTCATCCGTATCGTTTTCTGCATATCCGTTGCTCCACTAGTTCTGATTTCTTGAGAAAAAAAAGTTACTTTATTGTGATAATTTTTCTGTGATTGCAACTGGAAATAAATAATGCGGTTACATTGAAAATTAGAAGTTTAAAATCTCTGTCCTCACTCAGCATGAAAACAATTGCAACCGTACCTGTTCATCTTATTTTATTCGGTGAAGCACGTGAATTGGCCAATTTGTCGGAAAGAAATGTAAATGTGCCGAATGTGTTGAATTACCGACAGCTGCGACAACTAATATTTCATGAGGCTTTTTTTTAAACCTTTATTATCATTCACAAATTGTTTCGGTACTTTGTGATGAGCGTTGCTTTTTACCACTTCTTAATGCTCCTTGGATGATTTCGCAATTCTTGATTAACTTTTTAAAGTGCCGAGACCTTGCTGGCATTTCCATTTAGTTGAGAAATTTTTCTATCAACAACCGGTCTGGTAGATGATAGAAGTAAAAATTTTTAGCCGTATCGAAGCAAAGATATAGTTATTAAAAATATAGATGACCATCCGATTGAGAAGTGAATTTGGTTCGTCCCAGGACAGGCCATACTCCTTCCGCAGCGGTTTATTCTTTTCAGTGTTGCTTATTCGGTGCCAGATTGATTGATATGGAGCTTTAAATGATTAAGCAGCTAAGCAATCTGATTAATACTTTAGTAAACTTTTGACCTTTTTTAGATGCTGAAGGAACTGTCACCAATTGAAGAGTGTTGCATACTAGCTCTAAATCAGGAATATATCGGTGATCATAATGAAACGTTTACGATCAGTGCGCATTCAGAAATCGCTGTAATACCACCGATAAGTGGTGGTTGAATTTTGGAAATTTCCCTGAAGAAAGCGGTGCTTTTGTCGATAACCGGATGCATCTTTTCTCCTGAAAGAAGTCCTATTGTTTATTTGTGGATGGCTTTGACTTGTGAAGCATCAATCCTATGTTATGATATATTAAGCTAATGTTAGGAAAGAAAATGGTATTATAATGACTGATATTTACAACAATTACTAGATCCTATTGCAATACAGCACTAACGCTACGAAATATTTGGTAGATAACTTTTCCTACTTTAACGATAATGGCATCTACAAATTGTTTTTTTACTCAACAAATAGTTGTGTAATGAATATTAACAAACTATGGCCAGTACTTAGTACTGGCGTGTTCTTTTTCCGATTCCAACATAGCGCTAAATTTCAACCTCACATCCAAACGGATGCCTTTCTACCACTCATGATCTATAGCCAACATAGTAGTGCAAAACCACAAAAATTTCGTCGCACATTTGAAGAGATCGGAAAATGATGGCTTTCTGCTAATATATTTTTATTTAGAAATCATTAAAGTTTTAATGTTTTGCATACCATTCATATGGCATTGTAATAACTAGTCAGTGATCGAAAAACAGTTCATAAATTTCGAGCTTTTAACCAGATAACCAGATGTAAGAACATTAGCAAAATGCCACATATTTTGTAAATTTGATAAGTGATAATTCTGTTCAATTTGGAAAGGTAAAAAAAGTGGAATGAAACCACTGTAGTAAGGAAAATAGATGCCGCCAGGTATTTAAAAGATTTGCTTTTGTTTCCTCATTTATATTGATTGGTTGGTTTTGGAAGTGTTGCTGGGAAGATAAAACGGACTTTGTATCGATATTTAAATTCAAACACAAAATACTTTTATAGATTTGGTAAGTAGTAATTTTAATAATCACTCAAGATAATGTCCTTTGATACTATCAGATGCGAAAATAAATGATTCGAAAATTAGCGAAACTACAGAAAAATACAAAAGAATTATTATACTAAAAGGATTCAAACTGTCAGCTATGAATAATTTGGAATATAACTCTGAGGAGAAAAAATAAATTCAATAGAAACGCATGAAGTTCCGACGACAACATTTAGCAAATCCAATTAAATAGAGAAACAAATTCAGAAATGTCAAGGAAGACCTGTAACCATGAAGACCATGTTGATCATATCAGTACGGGAATCAACAGTCTATCTCCTCGTGCTAACTTACTGCATTATCAATTTACAGAAAAGCAAAAATTAAGCTTCTAATAAAATGGACTGGATTCCACGGATTGGTCGAGAAGAGTAATTTTCTTTGGTATCTCATAACGAGGAAATTTTCATTCCACTGAATGATAATTAGACTTTTCATATCCTTAGCTATAAAAGAAGTATTTTCAGGAAGGATTATTCATTCTTGTACAGAACTATACAATAATATTGCTCCGCAAACAGTTATGGAACCGGTAATAAACATTAAATTCAGCTGCATATCGTGGAATATTAAATAGGAGATCATAACGACCAAGATGATACTCACTGCTGAAGCGAAACTTTTGCACAAATTATCCAGGTATTTCATCACAAGTGATATAAAAATACCCCCTGGAATAGAAAGAACTTCGCACTTCTCGCTTACGATTTGCTGCTCTACTGTACACAGCATTTCTTCCATATTTAAATTCATCCATTTTGTATTCTTATTTTTACTGAGGCATCATAATATTCAATGAATGATTATAATCAGCGCCTCACTAGAAATGCTGTGTCTCACTAGAAACTTATTTGACTAGTTTCGTTTTTAGAAATTTATCAACCATTTCTAAAATTTGTGGCTCTGCATTGCTATGAAGAATTTTATATATAAGTCTACTTACAACTACGAGAAAAAATGATTGACTTACCTAAACTTAAGAGCAGAGTGATAGCTATGACATTAATGTTGTAGCCATAAAAAAATCCTTTAGTTAGAATTTTATTCCGTTCAGAAAGAATGCATCCCAAAGCTGCGCTCACTAGGCCACAGCTATACATCTGAAGATTCCGTATCCAGAACGATGTTTCACTGTCGGCTTTAAGCATATATTCAAAGTATACCCCTGAAAATTGATCGAAGAAATTCAGATACCTATAATTTCTGAATTTGCAACTACCAAAAATTACAATCATCTAAACTGAAGGTTACCAACCAGCAAAGCCTGCCGTCACACATGTGAGTAGTACAGCGCTCAATCCGAGCATGTAATTTTCATCGCTTTTCTCCGGTACACTTCTTTCGTTTACGCTAAGCTATAAATTCAAAATATAAGCTTTTAAATGAATGGAACCATAAATAATGAATAATGAAGTAATACTGTGAGCAACTAAAACTGCTGCTTTTACCTCACAGATTCCATTGTGATAGTTTCTAATACCTTACACAAATGACGAACTTTTCAGTTTGCTAAAGTACGCTATAATACATCAAACTATAAAGTGGAACCCAGAATACGCAATTTCTTGTAATTTTTTTAATATTTGCTTTTTTTATCTTTCTAGTTGCATGCTCCACTTGCGCTTGCATGCACTTGCAGTCAAGAAACGACTAGTATAATTAGTGACGGACACTTAGAAGCACAAACAAACAAGTGTTCTACATTTTTGTCATTTAATTTCACCAATCATTAAAAACATTGAAACGAGTACCTCCACAACAGCAACACCACCGAAAAGTAAGAAAATTGCAAGCCATCGCGTGCCTGAAAATCGTCGTCCAAGAATAATCATCATAAAAATAGCCGTAGTAACCACCTTAAGTTGAGTAGTAACATGATATATGCCCGCATTCAAATTTGACAGTGCCACGAAGTCAAGGTTGTTTTGAAATGCATAGGCTACTGACGGAAAAGTCATTTTCAGCAAATCCTTTGGCTTCCCGAAATATTCCTTCGCCATATACTACAATTCAATTAACTGCTATAAATGGTTCATCTCTGTCCGCCAATTCTTTAAAAAATCGATTGTTCAAGAAACTGCTACTTACTAAAACTTCATTTTAACTTCTTGCTCTACCTTCGAGTTTTGGTATTACATCTGATGTGAATCTAAATTTCTTCGATGGTAACTAGGAACAGCTTCTAAAGAAGATCACTGTATATAACTATGCAGATGATATCATTAGATACGGGACAAGTAAAAGGTGAAGTGAACTTACTCTAGCAAATTCTTTTACATTGTAGTTATTGAGTTGAAAGACAAAGAATAAAGCAATAATCAGTTTGATCATTTCCGAAAGATATACGACTGTTGTTGGGAAGTATTGCTGGAAAAGGTCAAAAATTATCCCTTTTTTCTTAAACCCTACCTCAGTTGCAACCAAAAAATATGGAAGAGATAGGTTGGATTGAAATGAACTAAAAATAACACAAATCAGTAATGACAAGATTCCCGACACAATACTTCATCTATTATCTGATGAGTAATACATTATATTAATCTTCTCCATTAGTAAATTGGGTGAAAAAAAAAAGAAAAAAAAAACAAAAGAAACAAACGAAATAGTGCTAACAATTCGAAAAATGAGTAAAGCTTGATTAATACTGCATGTTATGTATGATAAATAAATTAAACAAGATAAATGAATTAAGTTAAATTAAATCAAATTAGTGAATAAATAAACAAGTAAATAAATTAACTGATTAACTAAATAAGTAAATAGACAAGCAAGTAAGTTAATCAATTAATTAAATAAGTAAATAAACAAATGAGTAAGTAGACAAATACACAAACAAACAAACAAATAAGTAAATAGATAAATAAATAAGTAAACAAATAAATTAATTAAGTAAAATAAATAAATAAATAAATAAATAAGTAAATAAATGAATAAATAAATAAATAAACAAATAAATAGATAAAATAAGTAGATAAATAAACAAATTAATTGATTAATTAAGTAAAAGATAAATAAACAAAATAAAATTTATAAATAAATAAATAAATAAACAAATAAGTAAAACAAATAGATAAATGAATAAATAGATAAATGAGTAAATAAACAAATAAATAAAATAAATAGACAAATGAATAAATAAATAAATAAGTAAATAAATAAATAAATAAACAAATAAATGGATGAATAAATAAATAAATAAACAAATAAATAAATAAACAAATAGAATAAGCAAATAAATAATACTGTTTCGAAACTGACGATCGGTAGTGGAAGTATATTAAACACTGAGAATGAATATTAGTTTTAAAATGGGGATATTTTATAATGACCAGCAAAGAAATTCCAAAACTGAGTTAGTTTCAAGAAATGAGAAATCTGTTAGGATTACGAACAGCCATATCACATACCAAATTTTTGGGGATGTTTGAACGAGAATGTCTCACGACTATTGTATAGCTTGTCCAAATAAAAATCATCTGAGTAATAATGAAACATTTGAAAGGAAAACTACTTCGATTTCCATTTTCAGTCATCTGTGATGATGTCGATGGAAGAATATTTCCCGATGGTAGTTTCTCCCAATTCCCTTTAACTGACATTGCTGCAATAGTGATAAATTTGCCAAATTTCAAATCCAAATCAATCTCCTCAGTGTCTAATTTGATGTATTGGAGGAAGGCTACAATAAACTTACAGTACAATATAATGTACGCCACTGAAGTACAATGTAAATTTCAATCATCACTAAACGCTTATTAAGCATATTTATCACCTAAGAGAGCATTTCTAAGCAATACACCAATGAATTAGAGACCATTTCGGAAAAATGTTTTGTAAGGAGTGTAGGACAGAAAAACTTAGCGAATAGCATATTCAGAAATGAAATGCTTAACCATCCATATGAAATGCCATCTCGAGAACGTTCCTTCCATAAAACGATTCATATACTTGGACGACAAAAGAACTGAATGGGATTTTGACGGAATGAAATCCCGTCAATAAAGCGGTTCAGATCAACATGCCACCTTATTACAACATATTTTATCCTAGCAATTTCCGAAAAGCAAATACAATGAATGACAAGATCATATTTCATTTCAAAACAACAAATCAATCAGAGACATCGATTATCGCAAATCAATAAACCATTCAAAAAAAAAGCCATTAAAACAAAAGGAAATTTATTTTTGCTGTGAATGCCGCCTTCCCTCCACTATCATTCTTGTTAGCGCTCAAATCTTCAATGGCTGGAAATAAGATTTTTTATTTGGAATCAAATTCGATTTAAACATTGAAACCTTGGAAAAATTACAGTTGATTTCCATGTTGAAACTAAAACTTAAACATTACACACTTCGGGCGCAGACCCGGACCCAATATAACTCCATCAGCTACATTACTCTCAACACTGTAAAATTTTTCAACAATAATTTCCTAGTCTACCTCAGCAACCGCTTTCTGCAAACGACTATATTGCTATTGAATTCTGAAAACAACATGATTTAAATGTAAATGAATGCATAGAGCATATAAACATGAAAGACAGCACGTGTAATTATGTAAATTTTGTGAATATAATTAGCATATTTGTCAAATTTCACTGTAGACTTCAATAAAAGCTGGAAGATGCATAACAAAAGTGACCAAAGAAAATGGTCAAAAGTGGTAAAAATAACCTCAGCAAAGACAAGTACAAATAGATATAAGGCACAAACCGTTATAACGGCACTGAATAGGAAATTTAGACATCAACACGACACATAAAAATTGAAGAGAACTTGAGTGGTCGCCACTATTCGCTATGCAAACTTCAGAGTTATGGCGAGAACAATCTTCCTTCACAATTTAAACTCCAAATTACTGTTCTGTCTTACTCTTATATTCTATCAATATTTTTCCAGAAGATTGGATATTGTAATAGATCAAAATATCCTCATCTGAAATGCAATTTCCTTAAAAAATCACTAAAAACAGGCAGTGCATAGCCGAAAAATTAGTGGTAGATCAAATAAGCGAGAAAAATCCGTCTGTTAATAGTGAAATCTTGCTTGGGTTCAGAAAAACCAGTAAATTCACAAACGAAGAATAAAGATGGAAATAATCTGGCTGAACCGCATTTGTCTCCCTTTCCATCCAAACATCTCGAATAATAACTCGTCAACTTTTGGGTTCTGAACTAAAAACTAGACAATGATGTCTTCTAGACTGGAACATCTAATGAATGTGTCCTATAAATGATTTAAAAAAATTATTGTCCGAGGGCTGACAGGCTATTAAAAAATGTAAATTAAAAAAAGGTAGCACTAAAGGTATGGGTGGTTTATTTTATGCAAATAAAAATGGAGAAAAATGTAAAACTCGTAGTCAAAGTTTGTCCAACAATTGAAATTTCAAATAAGACTTGATTCCTTTTAAATGTAAAAATTAGAAATCATCACTTCTTATTCGGAAATTAATTGATTAAAGGACTACAAGTTGAAGATTCCTTAAAAAAGATGACTTGAAAGATATCTCTTATTTAATTCGGGACATGGAGATTAAGACACAGAAAAACAAGGACAATCCATTCACATTTCAAAAAAATAGAAAATAAATTTTACGTCCCATTGTTCATCATATCCTGGAAGTTAACGCTGCAAAGATAGACAGTCAAGAAATTGAAGAAATTGGATTAGGCGGAGGACCCATTTGTGAAAGAACTTTGTCCAGCCACTAAAACAAAATATGTGTATTTCCGTTTTACTGTTCGACAATATAAAGAATTGACAAAATTCCGTTTGAATTTTTTAAAAATTTCGTTTGAATGCGAGTGGGAAAAGTGTAAAACAGAAGAGCTATGGTTAATTTTTGCTCGATTTTCCTAATTTACTCTAAACTATTTTAATAGAAATTAGTTAAATTCAAATATCAATAGTGCTTCAGCATAGAATAAAATGAAAGACACACCTGTAATGGAGCGTGGAGATGTATCTCGACCCAACATGGCGTGGATGTCACATCCTGCCTTTGATATTCCGCACCCCACCCCTTTACAAACGACATGCGTATGATTGTCATATTTGTTAGCTCATAAATTGCATCAAATGAACAGCAACGTGTTGACTCCGCTAATAGCTGGAAAAAACCAACCAATTTTAGGCCAAAATTGACACTGATGGATTATAAATAGATATATAGAGAGGCAAAATAAAAAATTAACAAAAAGAACATCCTACCACATTTCTCTTTACGTAAAGGAAAAGTATTACGCTTTAACGCGAAAAGGAAACCTCTCGGAATTTCGACATGTCAAAAATTTTTAAGGAAATTCCGTTTGTTATTTTGCATACTGTTGTCGGATGGAAATTGTGGAAATAATTGCAGTTGCGTGATTGAATGAATATTGCACTTTCGCTCTGACATTCGGCAAAAAGCGTGCCTTGATTTGGAACATAAGTTAGTTTTACTCCTAAAATTGATAAATGAAATAAAAACTTTAAACTTTTAGGAAAGCTGTAAAACATACAAAAGAGACTGTGAGAAAAACTGAAGGTGCAAAGGTTAAAGAAGATTATAATGAAAACAAACAAATCCGTCTCTTTAAAACAAAACATTCACCAAATCTCTAGGACAAAAAATTTAATGGTTGCAAATCATGCAAAGCCAACCTCTTCCAATACGTCTCCTAGTTGATTCAATTTGTTGATTTCTGTTCACGTTAGACAAAAGACCAAGGCATATTTTACTAGGATTAGAGGTGGGATCCGTAAAACCATCGATTTCAACGGTTGGGGATGAAACTTTATACTGCTCACCGACACGAGTGTTGAGTTCGAAATAGCTGATCGTAGCCCAGAACTTCCCTTCTTCATATGGTACCTGAAATGAACTTTCACAGCGATTAGCAAAGATAAAAAGAATACAGTTTCAAATAGCTTCAGGCCTTCTATGTCAAGATTACAATGTGAAAAAAACTCGGACAAAAACTTTTTTTTAAATCATCATGACATAAACCAGCATACTTCTATCGTGGTAACACCGTTCGGAATGATTATACTTGCATCCATTTCATCATCACGCTTTGACAATATCACCTGGAAATATTGTCTTAATTTCCCGTTAATTGGTAGAAAATTTGCATGTAAATTCCTTAATCATAGCGCTCGCTAAACTGAAAGTGAACAAACAACAAGTTAAGTGTAAGCACCGTGAGGAAACATCGAAAGCAACATCTTACTCTTCTTAGCAAATGACTACTGAAGTTTTTCAAACAATACTTGAAAGATCAAGACAAGGTGGGAAAATATTATTCATTATAAGACTAAAGATTTGATCTAGAAAGCACAACATGGAAGCAAAGTGTGTCAAAAAAAGAAATTTTGAGTGGGATTTTGAAAAAAGTGGAAGAAGTTGGAACGAACCGAATCACTGTAATGACTGAAGTCAATATTGCATGGCATTGATGAAACCGATGGGCACGTCTGTAATCTGGAAATACGTAACAGTCGTGGTATAATATGTGGCGGTGGTTCAGTATACCGTGGTACCAGAACCGGAGGTAAGATACCAGCACTTTCCACTCTTTCGTAATGGTATGGATTGATACAAACATCCTTTTGACCTGATTCGTAACAATAGCGACAGTCATCGATTGCTTTTAGTTCATGATGTGATTGCAAATCTGGCCAACGATAAACACGACAGTAAATCACATGAGGCAATGCTTTCCGATGTGATATCTGAAAATGAAAATTAATATATCGGAAGATAAAGTCCTTACAATTCCCTTACAAAAAACTAAATATTCCTCCATTTGGATGACATTTTGATGATTGGCAGAATGAATTCCGTGGAAAATTGCTTTCGTTTCAAGAATATGTAAACATATCTTCCAAAAGAAATACGAGGGGCAGAAGCAAATATCTAAAAAAAAAAAATCAAAATACAGCAACAATGATTCTTCGGCACTAAAATCTTTCAAATTATATTCAGCCATATTGCGCCATTATTCAGCCATTACATTTCAACTAGGTGTTAAACCTCAAATTTCCAGTCCAATTTTTCCAAAAAGGGCGTAGAGGAAACAAAAGGGAGTGACAGAAAAACCTGTAGTCTTCCATCAAGTGAACGTGGTATGGTAACACAATCTGTTCGTTGTCGTCCCTGATATTGCAATGCCATTTCTAAACTTGCTAGTGCTTCCTTATTATGTTTTTGGAGTTTCTTCATCAAGCTATCGATAGCTTTCTTTGACCAACTCTCCTCTTCATCACCTGCAGTTTATACGGTTCCTGTCATACAGAGTGTTTATTAGCAAAGAAATTACATCTGCAGTGAATCCCAGATAAAATTAAAATCAGTGTGACAAACCTTGTTTCCATCCGAGGCGTTTCGCCACAGCAGTACCACGCTGGCCGAGCAAATTCTCAAATTTCATTCCTTTGCTTTTGCACCTGAAATCTGAGATGAAATGAAATGACTACTCGTTAAACACCGCACATTTTAAACTAAAGTACTTTAAAATTGGTACGGCGGAAGAAGGAATGCAGAAATATTAATATTTATTAAGTTTGAAGAACAACAGAGAAGGAAGAGAAAAAACAGATAAGGAAAATTTATGCTTGTGAATTTCAATATCCGAGTTGGGTCTACAGTGAAATTAAAAGTAAAGATCAAAGGGAAGCCCCTGCAACTAGAGAGCGATAAAATGGGACACTCAAGCATTATGTTCAGTACCCCACCATGGACAAGGATGCAACGGGTTGTAATAACGACGTGGGACGTAAAGTTGCAGATGAGAAAGAATCTACTGATAAGATTGTGCGCGATTCATCCCTTTATTATCATCTGCAGAAAATAGATAAATTATAAGTTCCCTCAGAGGACCTCTCTGATGGACGATAAAGAGCGTCAATGCACAATTGTGACAGTTATGTACGCTCCTCATTAGTAGAAGCTAACTTTAAAAAGTCATCTCAGACCATTGCATGTTCCTGCACCATTGAGCGCATGATACTTGATTGTCAGTCCACCTATTTTTTGCTCATCAGGAACAAAGTTTGACTGATCAGTTAGGGTAAGTGGCAGAGGACTTGGAGAAAATCGATGTTTATTCTTGAGAGGGAATGGTTCAAAATCAACCAGCTGAATGAAGAGAATATCTACAAAATTGTGCTGAAAGCAGTTTTCAGATAAACTGTTTTATTTGAAAATGAGTGGTCAGATACACTCATTTAAGAAATGTGTTCCGTTTTTCAGGATATCAACGTTATGTTGACGGAAAAGGAAAGCAGTTTTGATAAGAAGGATACAAACGAAGCATTGGAAAATAACCTTGAGACGAAGGAAGATGTAAATTCCGAGAGTGTAGGAGACGAAGTAACATTCAGTGAAAGGGTAGGTGATTATCGGTCTGATAACTTTTTCTAGGAATTCGTTCAGCTGTTCTTGACTTTAACATTCTCAAATTAACAGCTAGGCAAGACTAATCTTAATTGAATATTATTTAGAATAGAATTTGCGTATTTAATAATGTAATTGATTATAAGAACAGGACAGAGAAAAAAGAGGAGAATTAATTCTCCCTTTTCAGTTTCTGCTGTGAATGATTGGTAAATTGCTTAACTCTGCTCTTTAATGTAACTTTCAAAGTAAGAAATGATGTGCTGTACTTCAGGTGGTTCGTACCGTTGCCTCAATTAGTGGTGATAGGTTATGTCCTCCTGATATGAATGTTGTCGATCAAATCAATACTCTGTTCCCAACAGAACAATCATTATCACAATTGGATTCGGTGATGCATTCTATCGAGGATGAAATCGTTGGCTTGGACTGCCAACTGGCGAAACTTGTTGAAACTCATGGGAAGGCTGGTGCTGAAGGAGACCAAGCCTTACATGAGGTTGATTGTTCTATTGTCTTGAACATTTATGGTTGACGCAAATATATGATATATGGGTAAAGCAAAAATAAAAACGGATAATCAAACCTTAATTTTTTTCATATTTTTTGATGTCTGTTGAATGTTTAGGCTCATGCAGCGATGGGAGACTTAGAAGGACGTGTACATGCAGTTTGCTTGAAGACACAATCTTCAGAAAGTGTTGTGCAGGAAATGACTCGTGACATTAAGCAGCTTGATGTTGCAAAGCGAAATTTAGTCTCATCACTCAAAGCTCTTCATCACCTTCAAATTTTGTTGACTGGCGTCTATTCACTCGGTACAATTCGTCTTGTGCTTACATTTAAGCTTACATTTAAGCTCTACAATAAATAAAACTGCTTACATTTAAGCTCTACAATAAATAATTTCTGTGCTATGCAACAGCTTCAATATATCGAGAAAATCAGATAGTCGATTCTAATCACTTATAACAGTTAAAGTCTCTTGCCAGTAATGTTTGATTAGATCGGATAACGTCTGACTGATAAAAAATGATACACTTTGAAATGGTAATCCTCACTTTACCTTTCAATGCTGCCATCCCGGAGTTCCACCGATAATTTTTTTGTGCATATCACAACAGATGGGCAGAAGCTTCATCGCAAACTAGTCAGGTCAATTCAAATTTTACATTTAAAAAAGAGGATGAGAAAAGTTCCTATGTTTTAAAATATCAAAAAATTTAAAGATTTCGATCTGTTGGCAAGTTTGTTGTCAAGATTTGCGAAACATTAACTATAATTCCAATATTTAGAATAGGATAAAGTGAATTTAGAATTGCAGTATTCGTGATTCGTTGAATCCTAGAAAATTACTGATCACCACTTCTCGTCAAAGAAGGTTTTGTAGTATGAACTTATTAATAGGGTCGTGGATAGACCAACATCGATATGGTGATATTGCTTCGCAGTTACCGGCTGTTCTGAATGTGTTGGAAATTTTTGGCCCTTATATGGAAGTGGAACATATCAAAAATGTCGCTGAACAACTTGAACGGCTAAAACAACGATTAGCTATTCAACTTATTTTGGATTTAAAGCGTTCATTCCAGGTTCTTTAATTGATTAGGAAGTGTTTTCATTGTTAATTTGCTTTAAACCAAACTTTCAATTCTTTTTTTTTCCAAAATACCAATGATTTAACTGATATCCAGACAGGAATCTTAAATTCTTCGGTAACTGATATGTGCCGCGTTGCTTCATCATTGGATATAGCTATACGAGAAGATTTTTGCAAATGGTTTATAGAACATCAGCTCTCCGAATATCTTGTATTGTACGGTGAAAGTGAAAATATTGCTTGGATTGATAAAATTGACTTAAGGTTACCTCATGTTTTGGATTTTTAATAAAATTCGATTTGTTGCTGGTATTCAGTTGAACACGAACACTTGCTGTTTTTGTAGATATCGGTGGTTCGTGCAAAAATTAACGGAATTTGAAAAAACCGGTATGATGAAAGTGTTTCCTGCTGATTGGGATATGGGTCGACGTTTGACCATAGGATATTGTAATTTGACGAGGTATTTTTTTTCATTATGCTTTCCATTGAATTACTTCATTGAATTTTTTTTTCATTATGCTTTTCATTGAATTACTTCATTGAATTTTTTGAGTTTTTGCGAATACAATATCTATAACGGACAGTGTCACGAGATCATCTAGTAAATAAAAATCTGAAGTGTATCTGATTATGTTACTTGAAAGTGTTGCTCCTTGATCCTTCTTACCTTTTATTACATAATTTATCAGAGATATGTTAGAACGAATGATGTCAAAACGTTGGTTGGAACTCGATCATAAAGTACTCGCCCATGCAATCAACCATACAGTAATGTTCGAAAATCTACTTTGCAAAAGGTTTCCGGCAAAGGAAGGTTACAACTTTGAAAAGGTATATTCTCTTCGATTCATAAAATTTCATTGTGAGGTTATATTAAAAGTAAAAAACCGTTATACAAATCGAAAAGATACTGCTGTTCGTCAGAGGGCATTGTCATTGGATGGATTAAGTAGAATAGTTGAACGTCGAAATTATGGAACTTAGTTGAGGAGTGCTGTATGGTCTTATTGGGCATTTCAACCCAACTCATAATGCACCCTATTACTAAGAAATATTGGAAATCATCATAATGGTTTATGTAACCACCAGCATATTCGGTTATGTATTTGATTGGGTATAAAAGTAAAAGCATTATTCAATGACAGCTTTTTCATTTGCATTATCCTTTAGATTGATCATATCCGAAGAAAAAACAGAGTAGCCAGATTATGTATATAAGGCTATAAGAAATAAAATTTTCTTGCTGCCATGATGAACTAAAATGTTAATATTTAATCCAGATCATTTGGCGAACATTTGACAAATACATGGATGTATTTGTGGCAGCGCAAAAAAAAATTTGGATAATTTTCTAGAGGAGTGCGTAATAAGGATCAGGAATGGTGCTGAACGACCAACCCGAGATACAGCGTCTCATGCATATCCACTTCCATCATCCGCCGATATGTTCCTTTTGTTGAAAAAAATAATTGCCGAGTCAACAAAACTCAGTTCCAATCCAAATTCTTTACTGAGGTTTGGAGTTACTTAGTTTTTTCTTCGAATCATTCATTCGTTAACACTTGTTTTTTAGGCATCATTAGCACTATTTGAGGAAAGAAATTCCACTTTGCCATTCAGTGATACATGTCCCAGCAGTAAGAAAATTTCCTCTTCCTCTTTGTGTAATGTGATCTTTGAAAAACAGTTGCAGAATGATCACCAAACATAAAATTAATAAGAAATTGCGAGGTTAAACTTTGCACTACTGTGACTTTTGATACGTTGGGGAATACTGTGAATTTTATTCTTCATAGTTTTGTTTTTTACCTTCATTCCATCGTTAATGACTGCAAAAAGTTCAACTACTAAAATATCGACGTCTTTGGTAAATTCTAGGGAGGCAAAATAAAGTCTGGAATATCTTTTTTAGGAGTCTCGTGGAAGTACTACGCAATTGTTTGCGTGGTTACGCTCATGGTTGTTTAACAGCCTTCTTACCATCCTTGTCATCTACCCAGTTTTCGTCCACCTCAATTTTACAAACTCTGATGAGGTTTTCTCTTTGATATTGCTTACTTTTTTCTATTTATTGTTCTTTCTTATCTTCCTGTTCCAATCTCATCTCGAATCCTTGAAATTATGAAATTATGATCTAACTGAATTCAGTCTTGTCCTAACAGTTTCGAAATTTCGTTGAACTTATTTCGAAAATTTTGGGGATGAGACTGCAGTTCGCTTAACAATCGACCAGCAATTTTTTACATGCTGTGTACTTGCTACTGCTGACTGGTGCGCTGAAACAACACTACAGCTGCAAGAAAAATTAAAGCAGCGTATGCAGGTGACTATTTGTGATTTTGCATTTCACTCCTGGACTATGATTATCAAGAATTTAAGGGTATGAATTGCAATGATAAAAAGATATTGTAAATTACCTTTCAAGAAAAACTCTCCAGGAGTTAAACACGGCGAGAAATGCATACAACATGTTATGTATCACAGACATACTCTTTTTAGCGCTAGACGTGTGAATCAGTTCAGTGTTTTTTCAGAGCATCGATCTGAATCAGGAAGTGGAGCTGTTCTACAGCATATCAAACAGTGCACTTTCTGTTTTAGTACAAGATGTAGATTCCACATGTGATGCTGCCCTGCAAGTGATGGTGAAGAAAAAGTGGTTTTTTCTCACCTTCCACTTCCGTTTTTTCTTTTTCTTCCGATTGTAGAAAGACTTAAACCATCGCGTCTGCATTTTTACTTGATATCTTGAACTCATTTTTAGAACATCGGTGGTAATCTCTCTACCGAATAATAGACACCCTGATATAATCAGAAATGCTTTTAGCTGGAGTGCTGTAGAGAGTGTTGGTGATGAATCACTATATGTTTCGTCAATACGAAGTCATTTGCGGTCGAGTGTGCCACTGATAAGAGATTTTTTCGTTGATAGACGAAAATATTTCGCACATTTTTGTCTGAAGCTTGCTACGCAATTGGTCAATAAGTTCTTGGGTGCCTTATTCAGGTAGATATTGAGTAATCTTAGAAGAAAATGCAGCTAGAATTCGAAAACTTTGGGAAAATATAAGTAAGGTATAGCAATGTTACTTAAAGTGACAAGTTCTTTCATTTAATAGCCATATGGTTATGATAATGCAACTATTGTGCTGATTCATTATGACTGCCTGTAAAACAAAAATAAACTTCCAATATCATCACCGAAATGTTTGAATCTCTCTGCACTGTTCGTGAAAAGTTAGTACTATCTGTTGCAGTCGTTACGAGTTATCGTGATATATATTAATAATAATGTAAAGATATCATAAGGATATATAAAGCGTATAACAGAAGATAGAAAGCATCTAAGGAAGTCATACGTTTGCGTAAGACGAGGAAATCGGAAGTAGAATCTTAATCTTAATTTCCGCTCTTTATTTTCTTGTCATTTAGAAAGGTACTATTTTCATGGGCGACTTTCATCTTTTCGTATTATCATACTGCCATATAACTTATTCGTAACCTAATTTCCTAAATTTTTTTTCAATTGTTTGTTGTACAGTGTGCTTAAAATTTAGGTGTCGGCCAGTGGGTGTAACTGGTGCAGAACAGTTGCTTTTAGATGCACATGCATTGAAGACTTTTTTATTAATTCTGCCAACGGTTGAATCATCCATTAATACGAAACCGCCGACAATGTATACAAATGTTGTGGTAAGAACCATGACGAAAGTAGAAATGATACTCAAAGTATGTTTTTATGGTCTTTTATTTCATTGTAATCTGATGAACTCTGAGTTTGGTTTATATTCTTGCGAGTAAAATGGGTAATTGCTCGATGACGAATGATATAGTTCGGATTGGATTGCCATGCATTTTATGTTAAAGTACGCTATGCTATAAGTTTCAAGGCGTGGAAAGCCTTCTTTTTTCCGGAACGATTTTAGGGTTACCTAATAGAAAAGTAAAGAGTAGTTAACTTGTTTCATTTCAAACCATCTTAGATTGTTATGTCAGAGATAAATTCACACGAAGAATTTGTATTGGCATATGTGCGACTGTTACCTGATTCGGATTCTTCGGAGTTACAGAAAATTCTAGAAATGAAGGCATTGAGACGTCAGGAACAGACAAGTATTATACGGCTGTACAAATCGCGTGTTGAGGGACAATCAACTACTGTAGACCGCTGTTGGTTTTGTTGTTTATTTTGCTGTTACTGAATTTGAGAAGGAACCTAGTAGGATGAAGAGAATATTTTGATATGGAAATTTTTGACAAGTCCTTTGAAGCGATTTAAATTCTTACTACTTTAGTGCTAATCTTCAATTTGATGTTCAGAAGAAATAAGAATGAAATTTTATAAAATGGGTTGGAAAAAGGAAGATTTATTAAATAAGAGATTGTTGGTTGAACGACGGTAATTGAAGTGTGTATCGATGAGAAAGCTTTAACAGAGAACTTGTTAGAATCAGAAACTTTCTTTCGTTCTAGTCTTTGTATGAATAGACTTTTCATGGATAAATGCAGAGGAGAGTGTCATGAGAAGTAATGGGAAAGCAAACGAGGAAGGTTGCCATAATAAACTTTATCAGGCTTTTTATTTTTTATTAGAAATTCATGATATAAGATAATTCTAGACTAAATTTCATTTAGTTTTAGTGGAGTCGCAATCGTCAGCGATCTCAGCACTAGAAAGTATCGGCGATTCGAGCATGAGAAGGCTAGAACAACTCGTAAAGAAAAAAGCCTAATACATGGAATGCGAAGTAATGAATTGTTTATGTAGAAAGATGATAGATGAGTTGGTGTCGCTGATAACTGATAAACTGTTCAACAATAGAACCTTTTTGAACATATTTTATAAAATTAATTAATAAAGAAACTGACATTTGTGAATTGGATGAGCAGAACATTCCAGCCCTCAATTTTTAAATCGGCTGAATCCGCAGAACACAAAACTGAACAAGAGACGAGGTAGGAAGTGCGGGGCGATATTTTTTGTTCCTGCTTCGTTGCATGAGTTTTTCAAATCAGCCGTTTTGGCGGGAAAACGGTGGAGATGAAAAGGAATAAGGATAACGAGGTTTACGTTGAAGTCCGAACGAACAGAGTTAAGACGGAGTTGGACAGTGTGCATTACGTGGAGACGAATATTTTGAATTATTTCAATGGAAATTCCATACAGTCGTTGACCTAGTATGGTATCTCTTTGAGGAAGGAAAGAAGCGAAGGGTCATTTCCATAAGCGAATGCATGGATCTAGTTTAAGAAAGATGAGAATTGGTTGAAGCTATGTTTCCACGAGTCTTGAACTTGAAAGATTAGTACTAATCGATATCTGTCTCCGAGCACCCACGTTAATTTGACTTATGCAGTCTCATTATTCCTGGGACGAGGAAGTGTTATTGGTAATTTGATGATGTCAGTAAGTAGTAGTGTGAGGTTTCACCATGATATAGTAGTACTTTTCTGTTACCATTGTTATTCGATTTAGGAAACCGGTAAGAGGAAGTATTTGTTCTAGAAACGGGTAGCGGACAGCTTCAAGAAACTTTATGCAGCCCGCTCTCCTCATATCATTTTTCAACGGATAAGTTATATCGGTTGTTTAGTTATTCCAACTGCTTAACTGTTTCAGTTCTAAAGTGTAGATAATGTTGGATAGTTTAAGTCGGTGGATTTAATTTCAGCGTCGAATTGGTGTCGTCAGTTTTTTGAGTTTTAAATTTGACAATCCCTTTTCCAGTTCCACTTAAGTACGAAAGAAAAGAAATAGTGATGTCAGGACGTTGTTCGACGAAATTGTCTTTTGAATTGCCACTTTTCCTTGCTTATGTGACAGGTCAGGTGATTTTCTTTCCATTGAATAAGCGTTGTAGAAGAGCTATGTCTTTAGAATTCATTGGTGGAAACATTTTCTGACTTTTAATTTTTAAAATTTGGGAAAGATTTAGAGAATTTTCTTACAGCTGCCAAGATTTAAACATCTGTAAATTTAGGCAACGATGCATGCGATGTGTTGTTGGAGCTGGAAAGAGAATATGATGTAAAATTTATCGTAGGTGAAGATTCGGTTTATGTCGAAGGCTTGAAGGAGCAGAACCTGAAGCCCATTAAAGAAGCACTTTCTCTTGCTTGGAAAATGGATAATTTTCAGCGGTTATTGAACTTTTTCATCAATGCAGTGGTTAATGGTTGAAATGACTTTGTTTTTTCCAGAAATTATTAACCGATGATGATAGAGGTTTAACTTAGAGTGAAAGGTTAACAACATCACCAACTAACACGGCTACAAACATTCGTATTGGTTTTGTTATTATTTTTATACTTTGTGACAAATACCTATAATCATATTGATTATTAAATTTCATGCTTTCCTCTAAACGTTATGCTTTTAAAAGTCTTGCAGTGCTGTAGAAATTTGTGAATTAGCGGCTAAATCAGAATATCAATTTCTGTTTGAAGTATCACCTTCGGAAGCTGCTCTTATACAATTGAATGCTAAAACTCTTCTACACCGAACGGGAGTACTGCAGCTGAAAGTATATTTTTGAATAAAAACGCGTAGTCGTTTTTAATATTTTCTTACATTTTCGCAAAAACTTTTGCAGACAGATAGTAATGGTCATGTGTGTATTTTCGGGAATGGAGCTTCAATTTGTGATGCATATGATACGATAGTTTCGATCCTTCGCAAAGCATCTTTCAAGAACAGTAAGTTTGAATTTTCCTAGTTTATTTTCGTATAAAAATAAGCGAAGAATATATGATGATTTTAACCTACTGAGGCTACATTCCGTTATCTTATTTATACTTTTTTTTTCCCAATTTACTATATTTGTTACGCTTTCGAAATCTATCCTGCTATGTTTAACAAAAAATTTTTTCCTTCAAATTCTTGAAACCACCTTTGATGTTCTGTTACATGTTTTCAGACAATGCTTTGCAAGGCTTTAATGAGGAGCCTTGCGTTCTGCTGATGTATATTCCGAGTGCGATTGCGCATTTTGTATTTTCGAACGATAAGCGAAGTATAAATGCTCTGGAACGTTCATCCCGATGCGTCGTTGAACCACATTTTAAGGATGCTGGTGCTGTTGGTAACACTCAGGTTGATATAATCACCAAAGATGTATGTTTGAAACAGTTTGTTTTGGATTTTCATATTTATATTGCTTCTTAAAAACTAGAAAGATGCACACTTTATTTAACCTTATTTTTCACTAAATTAGATATGATTTTTATGTTTTTTACAAGCTTCTGTAATGTAGGTGAAGATGGAAAGAGAAACAAATAGTGAAGATCATGCAGAAGTAGCTTAAGCGGACACAAAACTATTTAGACAAAGTGCCGAACATTGTACTAAAGGCTCAAACGAGCTTGGCAAGCTAATTCGTCATTACAGCTCGCCAAAGCATTAGCTGCAAAGACAGCATTGATGGAACTAATTGAAAGTCATGTTGGAAAAATTCATAAATGGCCAACTCCAGTAACAGTTTGCTGTGGCTCGCGTGTTTCACGCTCAATTCCAGAAGTGTCTTGTCGCACATGTATATTTTTTATTCTTTTGAAATGGATTTGAAATGAATTTATTGGTCTGAAATTCACTTTTCTTTTTTAATTTACTGAAATGAATTCAGTTTATGAAAGTTTTTCCAGTGGATGAGTGCGAAGCTGTACTACGTGGTCCAACAGACAAAAGCTTGACTTTTAGCGTGCCTGCTTGTGAAGCTTCGCGTCTAATTGGGATTCGAGGAGTAAATAAGAAAAGGATTGAGGAGCGCACAAACTGCTTTATTTCAGTTTTATATTTTACAAAATTTGGAAAAATCTTAGAACCTTGTTTAATATTTATTGGTATTGACCAACTTTTGGCAAGGTTTTTTGTTTCTGTTTTATTACTGTAACAATTAGAAACTTAATACTAAAACTATCGAGGAAGAAAAAAAATAGAAAAAGAGGAAGTGAGGTCGTTTGTGGTATATAGCTGATATATATTTCATATAAAAATTGGCTTTCGATATAATAACTGATTGCAGTTGCACACAGAGGCAAAGCATGGGGATGAACTTCCTATAGAAATAATTGGCCAAAATGTGAAAGAATGCGAAGCTGCTCAGGCTTATATCCAAAAATTTCTGAAAGAAACACCCGGAATGAATAAAAACATAACTTGCACTAGTTTATCAGGTGGAATGCAATCATCTCAACGTCTTAATTCGGCATTGGAACTGTCGCAGCTGGGTACACTCTCTTATTTATAAGTTAAAGCAAGTGGTTACTGTTTTTTCCATATTTTAAATCCAGCTTTGTTACCAAATACTTGAATGAATACTATGGCATCGGTAAATTGGAGACATAACTATTGCTTTCTAGGCCATTATACAACACAAGTACCGAAAATCCAATACAATGGCAAATATTACGAAAAGTGATGTCGAGGAAAATTTTCAGTGACAGTGAAATTAATATAGTTCTTTGCATATATTATGTGTTCTGCGAAAAATACTTTCGATAAAGATAGGGCGTCACTAATAAAAAATGGATTGAAATAAGATGGGATACTGCATCATATCTCTGTTACTTTGTTTCACACTGTAGTAAAGATTACTAGTTTATTTTTTCACTCCTCCCGATGTGATTGCTTAGGCGGAATTTACTATTTTTATCGATTATTTCCGAGATCAAAAGTCATGTAGTGAATAGGTTTGTCTTTGCTATTAAATGTAGATATACAATGAGTAAATGGACATTTTTACTACGTTTAATATAATTATCACATAATAGAGGCGATTATAACAATCTTACTATTGCCAGTTGAAAAATGCAACATTTACATATTTTATGTAATGTATCTTGAATTTAATAAATTAATAACAATGTTCTGGAGTAAAATATGATTTAAAATCGAATTTTAACTACTTGAATTATTGTTTGCATTCTCATAACTAACGTGCGGCGTGGCCGAGAGGAGGATGACGTCACAGTATTTTAGTGCACCGGGTGGTGGTGGTGGTGCTGCACCGGGGACGGTATCTGCGTACTTCGCAGCACCAGGAGCAAGACCCAGTGGTGGTGGAGGTGGTGGTATCGGTATTGGAGGCGGAGGTGCTGGTGGTACAACGTCCGCTTATTTTGCTGCACCAGGAACACCGGGAGGTGGGGGTGGATGTGTTTCGGCGTATTTCTCGCCAACTGCACCTGGAGGTGTGGGAGGAGGAGGCGCAGGCTTACCCACAGGTAGTTTTTCTTGTCAAAGCTTGGAAGTTCAGATTAAAACATCAATATTTTTTTCCGAGAAAGTGGAAAATGCTTGAAAACGAAATTTTCCTTGGAAAAAAGGTGATATAGCAGCATATTTAAGGAAAATAACTGATAATGTATCATTGGTAGCCATTACTGAGATTAACTCTTCAGTTTGCAAATCTTCGAAATTCAAAAAAAATCAAAAATGGCTCCCAGTTTACATTAATAATCAAAATCATATGAGCCATCTCTGCACTAGTGTGGTTTTAAACCTATTAATCAGCTAAAAGCTTGCTGCACTTGAAATTTCGAATTCAAATGATGTCATGCTATTTAACATTAAAGTCATCCTGTTAATGAGTTAGTAAATAAACACAAAATGCGGACATAAGTGAAACTTTTGCATTAGTAGATCTTATATATATAATCTGTAAGTTCCATATCTGGATCTTTGATATTCTTTTTCACTTGAAACATATATTTAAATTGTGTACTTGTGATACTGGATAAATACGACAGTCAGAGTCACTGTTAAAATAATTGGTAAATAATTGACATTCAATTTTGCAGTTGGCGCCATGGATCCTACAAAAACAGCTATTGGCGCTGTGGATCCAACAAAAACTGCTATCGGTGCTGTGGATCCTGCTAAAACTGCTATTGGTGCTGTGGATCCTACTAGAACTGCTATTGGTGCTGTGGATCCAATGAAAACTGCTATCGGCGCTGTGGATCCCACTCGAACTGCTATTGGAGTCGTGGATCCAACGAAAACCGCGATTGGAGCTATTGATCCTATGAAAACTGCTATTGGTGCTGTGGATCCCACTCGAACTGCTATTGGTGCTGTAGATCCAATGAAAACTGCTATTGGCGCTGTGGATCCTACTAGAACTGCTATTGGCGCTGTAGATCCAATGAAAACTGCCATCGGTGCTGTAGATCCCACTCGAACTGCCATTGGCGCAGTGGATCCCACCAGAACAGCTATTGGTGCGGTAGACCCGACAAAAACTGCTATCGGATCTCCGACTGGAGATTTCACAAGAACAGCTATCGGAGCGCCAGCTGACTTAACAAAGACTGCCATTGGAGCCGCGCCAGGTGACGTCAAACAAGAAATCAACTTTGATTAATTTGAAAGCTTTTGAAGATTTAGATAATTTTACTTATCCAACTTAAATTCACCATTATTTGGAATGATATGTTAAAAGAAAGGCTTCAGAACAAAGTTCGAAAAAAGAGAAAACCATATATTCCAAGAAGAGCATATGTTTAAAAATAGAAAGATTTCAGCACCTGCAGGATCAGGAGGATACTTGCCAACAGCGCCGGGTGGAGGTGGAGCTACGTCCGCTTACTTTGGTGTTGGTGGAGGTTGTTGTCTGTTGTTCCTTTTGGACCGAATTCCACAATTTTTTGAATTTCGTATTTTTTATCTGCCATTTCCAACAATGAGCTAAATATTTCAAGTCCGAAAAACTTTTCATGAAGTAATCTAACTTTGAGATTTCTAATAAAAATTTCTATATTTTAGCAGGTGGTGGTGGTGGCTACACCTCCGCCTATTTCGGTGTTGGTGGTGGCGGCGGCGGTGCTAAGCCAATTGGTGGTGGTGGTGGTGGCGGCGGTGCTGCGAGTCCAGGCGTATCGGCATACTTTGCACCATCGGGCGGTGGAGCCGGCAGTGCACCAGGAGCGACTTCAGCCTATTTCTCTGTCCGATAAAGCAATTACCAAATGTTACACAGGGGAATTTAGATTTGTACATGCTGCACTGAATACCATTCATTCCAGTCACAATCATATGACTACGCCTCCGGAAATTCATGTCCAAAAAATGCTTCCGTCCTTCCTCATTTCGAAAGACTTCTTTAACCAAGACATCCTCAACCTACTTACTCCTGTGTGCATGTCCGCACATATATTACATATATACACATATGTATATCGCTGGCTTCCCACTCATATTATATCTTAATTACACGTATATGGAGAGTTCGCGGAAGGAATAAAACATCCTTAATACTTTGTTGTTTGAATGGAAATTATCAAGACTGTTCAGTCTACTAGTGGTGGATGAAGTACATGGCCTGATGACAATCAATATTCTTCCGAGCTAAGCTCATCAATACCAACCGTGAAATCGACGGAAGTAATCACACAAATTCGATAATCCTTCAAATACAAAAACAAATGGTCCAAGAATCTAGCAAGCTCAGAAGGTAACAATACAATAACCCCAACCCACATCAATTCCCCACGATTCCCTTTTAGAACAAGTTACGAAGTACTGAGTATCCTTAATTTTTCTAGAAAAAAGTGATAAGCCGTTCCTGAAAAAATCCCGAAGACTTGAAAAGGCATTAAGTATGACAGGAGATGTGTCTTCCTGTTATCTGCAAAGTTTTATTGCAGATTTCTTGCAGAATAACTTCGAAATATGTCACTGTAATATTAAATGGTTTTTTTAAACTCCAAATTGCAAAAAGTGTAAAGCTGCACTGTAAACAAGTCAAAAGATACTTAATAGGAAATAAGTAGATGCAAAAAAGGCCTGATAATGAGATTTCTTTATGATATGCGATTCTTTTTGAAGTCAAGAATATAAGATATAGCAAAAATGATGATAAGATATAACAAAGTAGAATTAAGAAAATGAGTATACTGCTCTGAAGTAAGAAGCTAGATTAAAACGTTTCCTCAAACAAAACGACCAATATAATGAGGTTCAAGTGAAGCATTTCACAAATAAGACCTAATTACAAAATTTGTACAGCAATAAAAAACAGATTCAAGTAAAAATTATGGGTTAACAAGAAAATAGGGTAATATATAACAAGTGATAAAAGTGCTGCATCAAAATGATCCCATCGGATATAAAAGCCCAGTGCCAAAAAAAAACTTCAGAATGTGCTCCAATCAATAGCTGGTTGTCCAAGTTTCACCAGCGCTTCATTCGTTCTCGAAAAACATTTGCAACCGAAAAACATACGCGCACTTAGTGGAGACGGATGTGCAGTCTGGAAAAATTTATGATACCTTCACGCCTTATCATCTATTTCAAAGAAATACGGTTGAAAAACAATTACCTTGATAACAATGTGCTTTTTCTTGTCAATTATATATTCCTTCTTATGAGCGAATCCCCCCCAAAGCAAAAAGACGATTCCTTTACATTCACGTGAAATGATGCGAATAACTTCATCAGTGAATTTCTGCCATCCGATATGATTATGCGAATTTGGTCGATGAGCTCTGGATATTTTTTAAATTTTCATCAGGAAAATTTAAAAACGACTTAGATATAACAATTCATCCTATATCAACGTATATAAAATTTACATATTTTATCGTCAAAAAAACACTGGAACAGTCCAGTTCAGTCAGTCACTGCAGCGAATAATTTTGCTGATCGTTTGGCTGAATGCTTAACAGGCTTTGTATAGACTTTCCCAAAAAGATAACCACAATATCAATCTGTCATTCTTAGATTTACTTATCATTAAATTGTCAATGGTTTTATTTACCATTCACTCAACGTTACTCTTAATTATCAGTCATCACTTACTCAACAGTCAGAGTAGCGTTCAACATAAAGACACCCTGGTGCGCCCAAGACTCGAGACAGCCATGGTCGGGAACTTTGAAGTTCGGTATATCCATCTTCAGTTCCTTAAATATCGTAAATAAAGCATGCATAACTGAAGTTGCAACAAAAACCCTATAAATTTTGAATGACTAACTTTGTAGATATTTATAAGTGAGGGTGGGAGTCTGACACCTTTGCAAACTGAGAAGCATAGTCCATGTGCCTGAAATTCTATTTAACTTGCATGGAGTATTCTAACTTCATGCTGAAATCGAAATTATTGAGAAATTATAAAATACCTGGTTCTCGCCGTGATAGGGATCTTGACCTATGAGAACAACGCGAATTTGTTTGAGTGGAGTAAGGTTAAAGGCATTGAAAATTTGATGCTGCGGTGGAAAAATCTTCACTCCCTAAACGTAGGCAATTCAAAAAAAAGGAAAAAAAACCGGAACTTTTAAGAAAGAAGTGCAAAGTAAACAATTCTGAACTCAGCTTCTATCCAACTTTTAAAACTTTTAAGTGTAAGAAATCAACATTTGTCACAACATCATCATTTGAAGATTACCTTTTCTTTTTCCATTTGCAAAAATTTAACAATTTTATCCATATATTCCTTCCGAAACTCAACCAAAAGCACTCTTCGCCAACCAATATCTTCAACCAGATTTTTTAGATACTCTACTGATCCTTGTCGCACAGATATAACATCTTCTTTCCCTGATTCTGAATAATTTTCACTAGCGTCATTCAATTTTTGAAATCTTTGGAAGAAATATTTGCTTTGGATATCTATGACTTGCAGCATCCAAAAATCTAATAACAAAATATTAGAAAGACTGTCACAAAATAGAATTCGAATCAGTGTTCACTTCATTACGATTAGAACAGCAAATAACAAATAAATAACAAACCTGAAGCATCTTTCTCCTCAACAAGTGAAATCTTTGCTGCAGTTTCCTTTTCCAAGGGAACTTCCTTCCGTTTCAGCCACGACATAAGATTACCGCATTTTGCTGATACTTCCGACGATGCTGCTTTGGCGATGGAAGATGCTTTATTCATTGAAACGATATTCTTAATAATTTATGGAAACAGTAATTCATGAATACCTGTAGAAAAAAAAAGTGGATAAAATGATGTCGCGACACTGATCAGAGTATGTCATGATCAGAACTTCCCCAGGATACTAAACAACAGAAAAATACCAAATGTCTTTACTTCTAGGACGTGATTTCTGAATATGTCAAGTACATTAAATCCTTGTAAGTGAACCAACACAAAGATCAAGTTCTGTATATTGTACACCAACATTATGTATGCATAAACAACAGAGAATATTTGAATCTTTATGTTCCATAAATAAACGAAATACGAAAGAATTAAGGATCAAGATCGACCCATCCTGAGTCAAAATTCTATCCTGAAATGAAAAAGTAGTATAAAACCTAATAAAACTTGACCGAAAAAAATCTATACTAGATAATAAAAAAGTACTAGATAACAGAAAATGAATGGAAGTCTTCTACAGAAGTTATCCCAAATCAGATATTGCTAAAAGAATCCAGCGAAAGAGTTATAAGGTCAAAGTCAAAATTTTTACTAATTGCTTTCGCCAAGAAATTTAAAAAAAACAAGAGAAATCAAATTGTATTTAATTTCCTCGTATCCAAATATATGCAAACGACGATGTCGAAACAGACCCAATTATAAAAATTTCAAGAAAGTTTAATAAAATGGGTACTTTGAATGCATTAAAACATATATCATCGAAGTGAAGTTAAAGCAGATGACGAGAACTGACCGCTTCGATTTTCTTCAAATGCAGCATCTTCAGTTGTAGAAGTGCCGATCATAGCTTCTTCACCTTTGATATTCCGTTCTGACGAACAGCACAGTGGAATCGGAACGGTAGCACGCTGTTCTCTGGCGCTCATTTCTGAAGCAGAACAAACCGGAACACCGATACCGGTAGTCGTATCTAAACCAATAATAAATTTTCCGGTGCTGAAAATAGGGTTTGCCTTTTAAATAATGCTACAAAAAACTCAAAATTAAGAAGAGATGAATTTCAACAAAACGAAAACCTGTAGTTTGTATTGGTAGCCGCTGCTGTCCCGATTGTTGTAACGGTTGTTTTTGCATCTGCTGCTGTTGCTGTTCTGTCAATGAAATTTTCGCTGCATCTGAATCTATGCAATTAATATTATTTGCACCTTTAGCTCTTGCGTTCGTTGAACGACGCCTTGAAGCAGGCGGACGAGGTTTCCTGAAAATATGGAAATTAACAGATCGGCTCTTCAAAAGTCAAGAATGCCAAGAGTGACTTCTAGCCAAAAATGACTTTTATTAAAAAGAAATTTACATAACGAATGAAAACTGAGAAATACCCTTATAAAATCAGGAATACTTTTTTTTGTTCTTCCCTTAAGTAACGAAGTGATAGAGCAGAAGCTAAACAAATAGAATCCAGAAAAAAACAGACAGAATTGTATATTTTTTCCTGCATTGACACAGCGATTTTATGCGTTATATATAACGCTACAAACAAATTACTTTTTGGGTGGCGCCTTTTCCTCGAGAGTTTTTACAGATGAATCCGATTCATCCGATGAATCACTCAGTTTTTCATAGAGCAGCAGACGATCCAATAAGAAGTTTTTGTCCCGCGAGAGCTTCAATAACTTCCTTTGCAAGTTTCGTAATTCTTCCTGATAACATTCGTTCTCCTGAAAGTAGTTCTGTTTTTGAAATAAGCAGATAAATGAATCTTGACAAACAGGAACAGTGAAAGATTTAGAAACAAAGTCGGCACCTCATTCTTAACATGTACCATACAATATATCCACTACAGCTTCGAGGTTTTCCTTTTTAAAACTAACTTCCAGCATAACGCACTGATATCAGAACTATTTTAGCCGCAATTCAAGGCTTGTATCGAAAGACCCTATCCAGAAATATTCACTATAAGAACTTACATATACGAGGAATTTGAACCGATGCTTTAGATCTCTGTATTCTTCTTTTGCTGTCAGTGGTCGCTGCTGCACATCCTCCTCTTCTTCCTCGTCACCATCATCACGCTGCTGTATGGAATGCTTTTTTGACTGTTTCTGCAAAGGGAACTGTACATAACCATGCTGCGATTGCATCTGCAACTGCTGCGATTGTTGTATCTGTTGCATTTGTGCCTGCTGCTTCTGCTGAATGATTTGCGGCTGATGTAGAAAATTTTGTTGTTGTGGTTGTTGCAGCACCTGAAGTTGTTGCTGACAGTGTTGCTGCTGCAGCAATTGCTGTTGCGGACAATGCTGTTGCTGCTGCAATTGGAGATTCTGATGCTGGCCTTGCTGATTCATTGCTGTCGGTTGTTTCAAGCATTTTTGCTGTTGCTGCATGCGAGAAGACTGCAAAACATGCTGATGACGAGCTTGCTGCAGTTGCAAAGTGTGATGGATTTGTTGTGATGAAGCATCGCACATGATCGGCTGCTGCTGATGTATATTATCGTATTCGCCATCAAAACTCCTGCTAGTTGTGGATCGGAGATGTTCCGCACGTGAGCCACCACCTGGCGTGAATGACACGGAATGCTGTCGCTGGAAATGAGGAACTGCAGTAGCTGCATTAGAAGAGGTTTGCAAAGGAGAAGGTGCGTTAACTCGGGATGATGACAGTGGAGATGGGTTAGATAAGGATTGTGGCGGACATGAAGCAGTACCTCGCAACTGTACCGAACACTGACCTCCACTTGTCGACTGGACGGAAAGAGAGGACGGGGAGGAAATTGCCGAAGAATGAGTATGCGGTGTAGAAGATGTTGTTCTTGAAGGTATAGGCGAGGGTACGCAATTCAAGGCACTTGTCACTTGCCCAGTCGACATGTAACAACTTTGGTTCTGAATTGATTGTTGCTGTCCAATTACATGACCAACAGAGGGAAGCGGCTGCTGAGTTGTTACTAGAAAGGTTAGTTGCTGCTGCTGTGCGGTTACAGGGGTACTTTGATGACATCCTCCCAACGACCTGTTGTCAGGCAACAGCTGCTGCTGCTGCTGTTCAGATTCTAGCATAACACCTGAAAATAAACTAGCTATTATCGGTCTTAGCGGATTACTCAGGAACTACAATTTTACAATTTCAAACAACTGTCAAAAACATTAAATTCTGATAGGTGCAAACAGAAGGGACAAATACCGTGAACGACACCTTGATTTTATAAGCACTACACACTTCGTTTCCATCATTAATAAGTGAAATATGATAAGGTAACAAGAATGGATGAGGTTGGGAGAGTTATGAGTGTAGGTGAAATGTGTGCGTGTGTCAAAAGTAGCAGATTTCGAGAAAATCCCACAAGCTACTCTTCAGAAGAATCGAAAAAACACTCCGAAGATTTGTCATGTACGGGCACAATATAAGTGGAAAAAATGCGGACTGAAATGTACACCCCAATTTACTTCCAATCATCGAATATTAGAATAAACGGGATGCGATTCTTACACGCTCACGGATGCCCGTTGCCACATGCAGCCATGAAATACCGGTCTGGTTGTTGGCAACCAAAATGATAGATGAACATTCGCAGTGGTGGGGAGGCAGTATTGCAGAAAGTTGCTTCTAAGCTTCTGACTGTGCCAAGTCTAAAATGGAAAAGGTCCAGAATGTGGCACCAATTATATATATATATATATATATATATATATATATATATATATAATATATATA